GCTGCTGTTCATTGCATAGTTGAAATTTGGCTTCTTGGGAGTCAGCATTACCCATTGTACTGAACAGGACGCTTGGAATGATTACACCTAAATCACTGACAGAGTTCATTTTTAAGTAACTCTAAGGTAGCAGCAAATCCCTTTACCCCTGAGGCAGATATTGTCAAGCTCTTTGACTGAATATTTTGGCCATCCCATTCCCTTGGTCAGCCTCATGTGACGTTGTTGCAAAGGCAAATGGACAAAGTAGGAGCTAGGCACAGGGTGCTAGGCCATTCATTACCATCATTGACCACATTCTGGAGCACGAGGTGCACCCTGTATTTTTTCTTCATCTCTATCTGCTTTGTTGTCTCAAATATCCCTGCAGACATTCTCAGGAGGGTGAGCATTGTAGTTGTTCAGAGAACTTGCTTTCAGGCCTTGTCCAGACCTGTTCCTGACCCATCCTGTAATAGAGGGCTCATTAGGATTTTGCTACTTTGCTATTCAGTGAAATGAGGACTTTGTATTGTATAGACTCACAAGAAATCTCCACGTATGGTAGGACTTGGAAGCAGCTAAGAATTTGATGCATATTCATCTTTGAAAGTAATTAAAAAGTAAATTATTATACAGTACTTCGTATTTATGGTATGGGGTTATGAGTTAGAACATGCTTAGATGTAGCTACCTAAGAGCAAATAATGCCCTCCAATTGTGTGTCCAAATCTTTTCCTCTTTTTTTCTTTAATGATTCTTATGCCAGAATAAGGGCTCTCAGTCCTTCTCAAAGTGATAATAGTAAAGCTGAAAAAGGCCAGCTATTATAGCAGAATAATTGTATTAATATAGAGGTAAAGCCCGTACAGTTTTAGTTCATTCAAATCATTTATCCTGTGCTTATGCAACCATTCTGTGTAATAGTCAAATTCTGTAAATGAGCACTTAAAGTTAGAAAAATACCTACCTTCATTATGRTATACGTGTATACATCTTAGAAGTATAGATGTGTTTCCGTGCATCTCAGTAATTACTTGGCAATTGGACAAAGGCCATACAGGCCCCTGGGATAGTCTTTTACTTTGTAAGTGCTGAAAACTTGTGAGCAACCTCAAATCCTCTGTTGGGCYGAGGGAGGCTGCCCTGTGTGGTGCCTCTACGCAGAATCTCGACTTGTTTGGCTTTCCAGGAGCTGTGTCACTTTGCACAGATTTCAGACTTCATCCCTTGTCATGATTTCAAACCTGGTCTTTTAGATATCAATCAAAAGCACATTTTCTACCCTATCCTCATTTACATTTATCTAATGCTTAAGGTCATCTGTGATCATTTGAGTGTATTTCAGCATATGGAATCAGTGAATAATAGATTTCAGCCTCATGCTGTGAAGAGAGATTGTGTTTTTACAAGACATGATGTTGTTTACTGGGTGTTAATAATCACTAATTAATAAACATATCTAGACTTCATAAAATGTTGCATTTTAAGGAATAAAAATGTCAAGTGTTTAACTTATCAAGTGCAATAGCGTTTGGGCACTTATTTGCATATACAAAATAATTTACAAAATGAAATGAAGTACTATCTCAAAACATAGGGCACTTTCATTGTAATAAATATTTAATTTAATTTTTACTGCTACATTCTTAAGACTTCCACAGATTTATTCTGAGCATTCTGTGTAATTTAAATATATGTATATTCAAAAGATTAATCTCAAAAATATTCCTTGCACATGGAATCAAATTTTGAGGTATAAGACTCAGTCTGTCGTGTTCCAGACATATATCTCTAGATTTGGAAAATGTGCCAAAACATGTATGGTACAAAAAGAAGCAGTCCAATATCAGCCAAGAGAAGTTAGATTAGGACAGCCTGCTATACATTTATTTATTTAGATTTATACAAAATGTAATAAATGAGCACATATCTAGCTCTCTGCCGACTGTTGATTATTGTTTAAAGGTACAGCCGTGTAAGCCAAACTGGCAGTTTGTCATATTATGTGTTACARTAACAGATATTTAGTAAACAGTTTACTTCAGCAGTGACTGTACAGTTGTATGATTATTTTTAGCTTCCAATGGCATATACAGAATTTCTTGCTAATGCTTATTGGAAATACGTATAGTAATGCCCTTGCTTCTAAAAATGACTTGCTATAGTAAGTGCTGTGTATGACTTTGATGGTGTCCCCATTCACAAATTACGCAAGAATCACTTTAAATTTGCCCCATAACTTGGCACGCAAATTATGCTCATAGTAGTCTTTATACGATTAGGTGTTGACATTAATATTGTTTTGAACATATCCCCTAATGATTAAATTATCAATAACAAAGTCTGCTCTTTTCCTCTTTTTTACATGGAAAACTCCCTGAAAAGGGACTTGGAGTAATAGATGTGGAAGGGTTGCTGTTATTTTAAGTCTCATAATGGAAAAGCTTTATTAAAGAGAAAGATTTGTAGTATTTTCCAAAGGATAACAAACTGCTTGTCATATCTACCAGGGACTTTGTTCTTCCATCATCTTCCCTGAATCATTTAGAAAGAAAATTTTTATACTTATTGCTGTTACGGGACCTATGAGTTTTAGATGTGAAGTCTGCTGTTTTGTTAAGAGCTGCCCCGGGAGATTTACCTTTTAAAGAGCAGTGAGAATGAGTACATACTACGTAAAAACAGTAAGAGAAATGCTGATTGCACAAGACACCGTTTGATTTATTTAGTAATAGTTTGTTGCTTACTTTTTGTCCGTATTATAGTCAGTATTGGAACTTCTATTAAGAATGTATGATGAAGTGAACAAAATGACAATCCTTATTCCTTAAAGATTATCATAAAGGTTATCATCTAAAAACCAAAAGCACGCCTTTCTCAAGACCAAAGGACATTTAGTAAAGGCGTTAGTGACAAATCACTAAGCTAMAGAGTCCTGATTCCATTTCTTACATTAATTTTTTTTCCTCTGAGACTGCAAACATGTGAGTATTTTATCTTTCTGCACTGATCTTCAAATCTACCAGCTTTCCAAGTTTCCTCACTCCAACTGATAGTATAACAACTTCCATTGTCTTTAATAAAAAAACCTACTTGTTTCCACTCCACTTCTCTATAGCTTTTCCAATTTCAACATACTCCTTTTGAGATGAGGGGGAGCAGGGTTGCATACAATATTCAAAGCGAGTGCAAACGATAGATACATGCAGTGGAATAATTATGTTTTCCATTTCTCTTCTAAAAATGCCTCACAGTGATTTGCTTTTTTGACTGCTGTTGAACTGATGTTTTCATGACACTGTCTGTCATAACATCAAGAGCTTTCTCCTGAGTGGTGATGATCGGTTCAGAGACCTTCCTTTTATACACGAAGCCAGAATTATTTTTCCCCTCTTGCAATTTGCATTTATCAATGCTGAATTTTCTCTGTAATTTCATTGTACAATAACTCCGTTTCATCCCTCTGCAATTCTTCAGCTTGCTTTTTTCCTTGTTATCTTGAATAACCTTATAGCAGGAGCAAACTTTGCCACCTCAGTGCTCATCACTTGTAAACATGTTAAATAGAACAGGTCCCTTGGGGACTCTACTGATTATCTCCCTCCATTGTGAGAACTGACCGTTTACTCCTACCCTGTTTCCTATCTTTTGTTCAATTATTTATCCAGGCCAGGACTCTTATCCCATGGCTGTCCACTTTCCTTAAATGCTGTCGGTGAGGGATTTTGCCAAAAGCCTTTTGGCATCCGAGGTAGTCGGCGTTACCCACATCACCCTTACGTAAACACTTGTTGACCTCTTTGAAGAACTCTGAAATGTTATAAAGCAGGACTTCCTTTTACAGAAGACATCATCCCTCAAAAAAGGGGTTTTGTGTTGAAATTATCTTCAATTTCTTCAACAGTGAACACTGATGCAAAGAATTCGTTTAACCTCTCTGAAATGGTGTTATCCTCAGAGAGTGCTCATTCGGTACCCTGATTATCAGCTGGCCCTGCAGACTCTGCTGAAGTGCTCACAGGAAGAATTAGTACAAAAGGAGGGAGTATTTTCATTTTTGACCTGTACATGTGTAATATTATTTTTATATTTAATTTAATTTTAATTATGTGTTTGATCCTTTCTTCATTTGGGTGCAACTTCTTTTGGAGGAATGACTTGTTTCTAACAACCTACAGTACTATTTAGCGATACCAGCTCACTTTTACCAATTCCTAAGTTTTTCTTATTAGAGTATTATTTCACACACTTCTGTTGATTTAATGAAATGGCAGCCTGTTTAAAATGGCATTGTAGTTGTGACTTTCTTCTTTATATTATATAAAGAGGCAAAAGGTAAAAGAAATATAATGCACTTTTAGAAGAACAGGAAAAGTGAGGTGCTATCTAAGACAATATCTTTGCATTAYTTTTAATAGTTCTTGGCTGTATTTTGTGAAGTTTTTGGCTATATGTTGTGATGGTCTTCTCTTTACTTTAAAAATCTGCTGTTGGTAAAACTATTCTTGTACTAGGTTAGACTGGACAGAAAGCCTACGTAGAAACTATTGATATAAAAAAGCTTATGTCTTTCTTTCCAAAGTTTTTAAGGAAAATGTCTGTGAGATGTTAGAATTTAAGCTTTTGTATTATTATTATTATTATTATTATTATTATTATTATTATTATTATTATTATTCCTATACTTATATATCCATCTTTTTTAGCCAATGCTTATATTTTGTTTCTTGATTGGTATTAT